TGCGTCCCTTCTCTTGTCTTTTTTTTTCTTTCTTTAAATCTCTCTCTTAGACGGGCGTGTCCGTCTTCTCATCCTTCTTGGTGTCTTTGATGTCCGTACGGCCGTTCACGTATTCGGTGCTCGTGTGTATTGGATTCTCTTGGCCACCCTGCGGCAACTTCTCGTCGATGATACGCGGGTCCTCCTGATCCTCGTCCTCATCGCCGGGCGTGATGTGCGCCTCGCTTCCGGCGCCGACGTCATCCGCAGTCTCCTCGTCGCGACGCCTCGCTGCAACAAGCAACGCCACGATCGGTCAAGGCAAATGTGCGTGTGTGGGCATTCTATCTTTCTCTCTTTTTCTCCCGGTTTTTATCACCGTTTTTTTTTTATAAACGCTTTGCGAATGCGATATCGCCGTTCGCGTCGACTATCGAACGCCGTTTATCTTGTCAATGAATCAATATTACCCGGGTGTCTATCTGTCACGCGACGTCTTCTTGTACACCTCGCAGCTAAGCGAATATTTTGTTCTTGCGAAACATAATTTATATCTCGCCATAAAATATCTCGGTTAGTGATACTACTCGCGAGACTGCAAGATGGAAAGCTTGAAACATTAATCTTTTAACGTTCATTCAATTCGCGCGAATCGAAATTTTAAGTTGATCTTGATTTGTTATTCTAACTGAACGAGAAAAATTGTAAACTCGATTATTAAAAAGTATCATGTGTTCTTTTGGACTTTTCTATGGAGTTAGGTATTTAATGCGCTTTTAATATGGAAGTCTCTAATATTCATTACGCGATTAACAGTTCCTAATGCAAATTGTCCGAGGCACATTATATCGTGCTGCATTACTGCGTTTCAAAGTGTATCAAGTGTGTTCAGTGTAAATGTTATGATGCCCGATGTAAAAAGGCATTACTGTATCTAATTATGTTATCTATAGCTACTGAGATAAGACATTCAATTTGCATCGCTCGTGCGTTACATAAATATATATATAAAGAGTACGAATTAACGATTGTCAAAAATATGTATTGTAACATTCACAGGCATAATCAATCCCACTAACATACAAATCTCGATCCAAGCAAAATAAATCCGAGTAATTAAAAGCACGTCATCGCATCTCTCGACGCTAATTGGCAAATATAGCAAAGGATACACACGCAATCTGCGCACGGGGGAGATATAAATAAACAGTAAAGGGTTTCTGAGGTGACAAACATGCTTGTACGATCAGAATCTGAAGGGGCGAAAGAAGGAAAAATCGCAATTCCAATTGTAACAAAAAAAGACGCTAAAACGGTGACGAGCAGTGTCAGAAAGTACGCGGAAGGTAATTGGTATTGGACGAACCGGTCGTTTCTGCTCGGGAATAATTTCATCACACTTGCCTTTGCCGATTGCTTATCGTTGCTTGTTGCGAGAAAGAAAAGAAAAGGAACGCTATGTGTTCTCGTTCAATGGCTTACAACGTGTTCGCATCACTTGATTTTCTAATGGTATCGCAGCTTTGTATCGTAATCCTTGCCACAGATTTTGCAGCGGTATCCATATGTGCAGAAATAAATAATAATACATATTTATTATTACTAATTTCATAATATAGTACTTTTGCAATGTAAGCGAAGAACGATTAAGCCGATACCGTGACGATATTACACAATGCATGCTGACAAATTAAATTACGTCGTGTAAAACAGGCTATAAGGCTCGCACGAGAGACATGTACAAGACAATTGTGAACACGTTGCAATAAGTATGCTTAAATTACCGTTAAATAACTACGGAGCAGATATTGTTGACATGCAGATGAAATTCGATAACCGTGTATCAAATGCGATTCGGATAAGGAATAATAGTTATCGATTTGGTATCGATGATGGAAGTCATAACCAAAGATTGCCGGGCGGTACTGTACAAAAAAAAAATGGAAATATAATTTAATAATGTATCTAAAAATATATATAAGTATTTCAATTTTATACGTATACTTCAATTACTTTAGAAATAACATAAAAATTAATTAGTAAATATTTTCTTCATTAAAAAAGATTAAATAAAGTCACTAAAATAAAAACAATATAGGTATTGAGAGATAAAAACAATATATTAATAAAAGCAATTGAAAGTCAGTGTGGTAAACAATACGTAAAAAAAATGTATAATTTACTGGATGTAATTATATAATTAATATAAAATTCAGATTAAATAAACTAACTGTTATTCCTAACTTTAATCATGCGCGTTTCAATTGATCCTATGCTTTGTGTTTACCGCTTCGTTTAGCAACACGTAACAGAAAATGGAACGACTGTCAGATTGTGAATTCAAATGTCAAATTTACTCTGCAGTCCAGGGCTTATCGGAATATTTAAAAACATTCCTATGGAATAATTAAACGTAGGGGTGAAATATCGGGAGAACGATTTTTTTAACGTTCGGGCGTTTTTAATTGCCCGAAATAGTGTTGGTCGTAAAAGTTTCGCCGTTAAACTCCGCGGTTTCTACCGGAATTCTCGATACGCGTGATACATTGATATTATTTCGATTACGGCCCGTAAATTACGAAATATTGTGAGAGAAAATATAGAATATTTCTTGTTAAAGAAAGTGAATTCTTAAAACTGCCAAGCGCGCTAAAGTGACTTTAATCTTTCTCCATTACGAAAATGTCTTTCATGCTTCGTGAAAAATATTCCTTTTTTCCCTGGCTTACTGGGTATCATATTTTGCGCAGGTCTTTCTAAGTCTCCTCTTCATAAATACAGGCAAGATAGTAGTTTGCGATTCCATGCCAAAAGTAGCCATAAAACAACGCGGAAGAGAGAAGAAACGGGCAAAAATCGTGAGCGTTACAGCCTCGAACTTGGCCAACGAAAGCGAAAATGCGGCGGAAGCACGATCGATTAATCGGAGGAAACGATATTTATCGGCGATATAAAACGCAAGCTATAAATCGATAAAACGGTTCGGTATCGACACGTGTCACAAATAAAAATGATAGTGCGGCGTAAAAATTTGAGAACACGTCAGGGAGGTCTTGCAAGATGAGAAGCATGAGGAGAGCAGAAGCGAAAAGTGTATTAAATTTGAAGGGGAGGGTCTACCACTCAAACGAGTAGACGGGTCCGCGGTCGTCGATAAGCCGGCGCTGAAAGTGATGGCGCGGAGAGAACGAGAGAGGGTGTCATGAGGCTGATAAAAATGATCGCGAAGAAAAAAGGGTGACGAGCGAGCGGACGGGTCGATGATGAACGAGAACGAGCATTGTTTTAAAGAAATAGGGGAGGGGGTGGGTAGGTTGTCAGGGGAAAGAAGGTATTTCGACCTGCCTGAGGTGACTTACCCCTGGACAGTGTCATGCCTAGAGTACGGAATCGCAAGGTAATCGTTGGCGTATCTCCGTATTCTTTACTTGGCCCGACTCGCATGCTGTCCTATATCGGCGTAGCGGCACAACACATAAGATATTTGTATACGTTCAGATATAAAAATATACTCTTATTGTATATTAGATATACGTATATATATAATATATATATATATATATATATATATATATATATATATATATATTAAGATATACGACGAATAGCGTTACAGTTGCTTCAGAGCGTACTAATTAAACTCAGTATATACGTTTCTACTGCACGCGCATACTGTGATACCGCTGTGATAATTACCTCGCGTTTAGGCTAATCGCATACTGCAGACATTGCGATCCACGCGATCGTAGCGCAACGTTAACGGAAACAATAGTAACGAACTATGTGGTAATAAAGTAACAACAACAGCGACAACAACAATCACAACAAGAAAGTGACGAGTGATACATAAGTTGTTTCATCGCATTTCAACTTTTACGTCGAGCAATATTATTTCACTTTCATATCATTTCATGTTATACCGATCATATTTTCTCTAGATATTCTCGAATGTCGAGGAAACTTACTTTCATTATTTATATTGTATCTATTAATGGATATTGTACGTGAAGCTTTAGAAATTTTCTCGAATTATTTACGTTCGCGAAGCAAATGAAGACAAACTTCTATTTTCGTTTACTATATATAAATGTCGAATAAATGTCACAGCGCAGTCAACTTATTTAAATAAAATTAACATTAAAACCATAAATGTCATGAATGAGTGCAAACTAAATTACGATGATAACTTTAACGGCTTATTCTCTACTTATTTGACATTTTCTCTCTTCCTGTATTATAGTAAATCTTGATATACTGACACAGAAAGAATTATTTTGCGCGGAAGTATTTAAAAAATTTAATTATTTAAAAATTTAGATGTAGATCTAAAAATACTTTTGTTGGACTATCAAAACAATTATGTAGAAGATAGTTATTAGAATGTTGAAATGTTTTTTATAGCATTGCCTACCATACTTGAATCTTTTGCATAATTATTTTGATGGTTCAACAAAGTTATTTTTCGATTTGTATCTATAATAGCTAAATTTTTTAACATTTCAGCAAAATCGTTCTGTAATATTCAGTGCAATAAGTTTTTTTTCGTCTAATATTAAATTTATCCTATTGATTTCTATACTTTGAAATTACTTTTAAATAATTATGAACATTTATGAATTTAATTAAAATTCTAAAAACAGGAGAGATGTAAAAGAAATATAAACGAAATAAACTACTATTTTTACTATCAAAAAAATTCTTTTTTTTTTTAGTTGTGCGACTCATCTTTTTCCCGAATCTTATTTTTCGTATAATTTGCTGTATAAGTTCCGATAACTTTAATGAGCTCGTATTTATTCCAAGAAGTTTCTCGTCCTGCGCAAACGATGTCTTTTACTCAAATTTTACGATATTTCCGGCTTTACAATGTTTGCATTCCTCGACCGTTCCCGCGCAACCAAATCGTTAGGGAGTACAAAAGAAAAATGATAAGACTGACATATATACATATATAATATGTAGCATATATAATCTAAATAGGGTCTTTCTTTACCGAGTATCTACATTTTTAAATTGCTCACCTGCAAAACACCAGCGGCCAGTCGCGCGTGCAAAGATTACGAGGAAAATAATGAGTAAAAGCACCAGAACGCCCACGACGATACCAATGATGGATCCAGCGTCCAAATCAACGCCTGCAAATCGCAGAAAAAAATGCCTCTTGTTATCGTAATTCTTTGTACTTGTGTGACATTTGATGTTATATCAATGCCTTGGAAAGCAACGATGGAATCTTCTGGTACGAAATTAAAAGAATAAGAATGCCGCATATGAAATATTTGAGATCGAAATTTTGAAGTGTTAAAACTAATAACTTTTATTTGCAATAATGGAATGTCTATGATAAACCAAACTATACGTAAGTAGTAAAATGCTGACAAGCATTTTAGAAATTATTTATAGAGTCTTTCTTAGTATTTAAAAAAATTTTTTATTTTGAGATTTTTTTCAATGACAATAATTGAATAAAAGAATAAATAATTAATATTATATTCATTTATAATTATAACAAACTATTTTTTACAATTCAATATAAACAAAAATTTTTTATTTTTTTAATCTTCTTTTCTCAAAGTTCTTCAATATTTTCGTTTCCAAGGTACTAATATGTATAGGTACCTATATAATATATTGATGATATTTTACGCAAATATTTATAAAATATTTAGCAATAATTATACCATTATATAAAATCTCTTTACAATTTTAATTGGCTGTAATATATTTTTGATCAATATTTTATTTTCCAAAATATCAATAATTTTCCAATATTTTCAACAAAATCGCATTTTTAATTAACTAAGTAAATTTTATTTTTCCGTGAAATTTTTATAGGTATTAAATTAGAAACTTATAAAAATGTTAATCGTTTTCAATACTCTTGCTAAGAAAAATACTAAATTCGACAAACAATCTGTTATTAAAATCGTAAAACATCTTGTATAATTTTGTGTTGAAGTAAATTACCATTGTAGTAATAGCGACATATATTTTACTGATATTTTACCACACAGCGTTTCGTGCGATTCGATCCAATCTGATCCACGTTGATGGCAATCAAGATTCGCGGACGTGCATTGAAATTAGTAAATTATTCGTCGCTCGATCAATGTCAACGTGTATCTCTCGTGATCGACGTATATTACACCCTTAGTCAAATAACGGTTATTAATTTCTCGGTGTGATCATCCCCGATCTTCACCTGGTCAAACCGCCGTACACGGAACGCCGTGCGCATTTACGTGACTACACAGACTACTTACGTATAGTAATTTGAAAAAATGACATTACCTAGTGCGTGCATGTGTTCGGAGAGCTTACCATAGAGGTTACTGAGCGGTCCTGCGTGAGCATGCGGTGAAGGATCGATATGGTTAGACACGCACATAAACATAAAACGGAACATATTTTCAAAGGCACGTGTGTATGTATGTATGATGATCGATGGGCGATCATCTCGTGGCAATTACGACGATCGATAGCCGCAATTTTACGTGCGAGATCGCGGTGGCATGATTATGATCGTGATGTAGTAGTGGGTGATCAGTGGACAGCCAAGTGTGAATACCGATTGATTCAGGCAATCAAAAAAAAAATGTGAACAAAGCGTGTGGTGGTTTATTAATTGCTCGCGTGTTACCTACCATCCGTTCGCTATTATATATTGAGATCCGTAAACATAATAATTCAATTTGAGCGAGACATATATTTCAAAAATATCTCGTAATTATGTCAAGTGAGTTTAATGTTTCCAAAAATCAAGATAAGATCATTTAAGAGATTCTTGATGAATTCTATTTTAAAAATATAAATAAGTAACAGAGTTAGATCTCATAAAAAAATTTTTAAGTATATTCCACTTAAAAGAATTTAATTAATAATATAATTATCAGAATTAATTTTATAAATTTTTACGATAAGACGGATAAAAATTTTTAATACATTTTCTATAGAGAGATTAATTTCAAATATGAAGATATTTCTGTAGAAAAAACTTTAAATTTGAAATAATCTTTCTGATTGCTGAATAATAATTCAAAATATATTATAAGAGTCATAAAATTATTCTCAATTGATCGATTAATTAAATTGTTAGGAATGTCATACATTCTTGTGCTGCCAGTTATCATAATATTTCCATGGTGCGCCGATTATTTTCGATATGTATACAAGATTCGTATTTCTAGGTGCACAGTGTAACGCTTTCAATGGAAAAGAATTCACGTAAATCGGATTTGTCGAATAACTTACCCGCCGGTTCTGAGGATGTCGACAAAACGATACGATATTCATTCGATCCCTCATTGTTGGTCGCCATCAACATGTACTCCTTTTCCGTGTCGGATTTCTGAACACTGTCGATCATCAGAATTACACTCCATGCTCCATTCCCCTGTAAAATGTTGCTTCGTGTTACGGACACATGTACATCAATCAGATCCCGTTCCGCCGCGCTCTTAATTTTGCACGCGCCATCGCTCATTAATTACACCCTTTAATTAAGCCCTTTAAAGTGTCGCTGCGCGCGAACACGAAGGTACGTCCACTATAAATTATTCGGGAGCTTTCACCATTAATCTACGAGTTTTTGCACAATCTTTGTAATCCATATATTAAAAAGAGGTAAATTGATAATTATAGCGCTCGTTACAGAGGCAGACAAAGAAAAAAAAGGACATATAAATTCTTTATATACATCACAGTCAAAGTGTTAATTCAGTAAATGTATACATCACAGTCAAAGTGTTAATTCAGTAAATGTATACATTTACTGTAGTCTGCTGTTGTCAGTGTATATATTTACTAAAGTTAAGTTACTTTAACTGTGACATATACACACGCGCGCGCGCGCGCACACACACATATATATATATTATACACACAAAGTAACGAAAAAGTTTGGCTACGATGTTTTGTGTATTTATCAAATGATTATCCAGACAGCAAGCTATTATTCGTTAGTATTTTGACATCAGTCTGTTACCTAGGTAATAATATCTATTTAATTAAAAAAACAAACTAATTTTAATTACATACTATTAAATACCATAAAAAGATTGTATCAAAGATTTTCATTAGTTGATGAATTAAAGACCGTTCTATTGATTGTGTCTGGGAGAATTATCCACTATAATTATCCATGGAAAGCTGCGCAACCATTGATGCTTTTCCAAAGCATCTTTAAAGCTTGTATCAAAGTTAAAGATTGCCATTTCGAATGCTAATTATTATTTTTGGTATTTAATGAGATATAAGTACCATTCTAAAGTTTCGTCATTATTAATATATGTTACTAATAATTTGGTAAACACAAAACTTTATAGGCAAACTTTTTATCATCCTGTATATTATTTTATATTAAAAAAACATTTATTCTTATAACTTTTTCATCGAATAAATATTAGGTATAAACTTTATTTTTTTCAAATTAAATAAATTTAATTTCTATTGCATTTTTCATCTCTATTATTTTTTACGATAATAAAAATATTTTCTTTTTTTACATTCTATCAATTTTTATTAAATTTTTTACTTTATTTCTGCAGTTTTCTAATCGAGGAAAAATCCATTTGGCGGATCTCGATATCGCATCGAGCGTTGTTCTCGGGCGCTATTATAGGAACAAAAGTGGTATGCCGAGCCTTTCCAAGCTCTCGCTTCTCTCGTCTGGCTCACTGTTAGTAATTGCGTTTTCAGAGTGGAAGCTGATTCGTATTCGTCGATGGCGCAGTACGTCGCGGTGCTCGGTCAGTAATCCGCTGCAAGTTGCTTGCAGACTTGTGAGGGCTGCGCAAAGCCTATTTGAAAGCCATTCATACACGAGCCGAAGCCAGGTTGCCGAATAACGCCGGTTGCCGACGGCGGCGATGAAGGCTTTTATTGGTTCTGGCACACGCTGCCGTTGTCTAGAACGTTATGCTCGCGTAAGTGTGCCGTTCGCTCCGAAAGTTTGAACCCGAAGCGCGAGTTCCCAACGAAATCATCGGACGCCATTGAGATCTCTCACCCTCGACCAGGGAATAATCCGCGTCATTGAATGCACTCGGCCGGCTTACCGCGCGCGTGCCGCTCGATTAACGTTCCGACTCTCCTTCTCTTGCGCTTGAGAGTTCGTGCGCTCGCCGAGCATTTGTCCGGAAGTTCGCCAGCTTTCTGCGGCCTTCCTTCGCCGATGTATCCGAGCATCTGGCGCCTGGCGATAAAATTCCCGATTTTACATAAGTATTAGACCGGAGAAAAAAAAATGAAATAACGAGAGGAGAAAAAAGGAAGTTGAAATGCGTTTGACTATTTGCATTCTTTGTAACATAGATTTCTTCCTTAAGAACAAATATAATTCTAAATGGCATTCAAAGAACGTTTGAAGTTGCGAGTTCAGCAACGTTGAATGTTTAAGTTTTTTTTTTGTCGATTTCCATCCCTTTTTTCTCCCTCGGACTGATTTAATAAATAGATTCAGAAGAACAAGAACGCAGCCGGTGCATTCAGAAGCGACGAACGTCCTACTTCCGTTCGTCCCGAACTAATTAAAAAGCGCAAGTTGCAAGATCGGCAAATCCATTTAAACCGTAACTACAGGATGAACAAACCGCCTCTTGCTAACGAAACAATGGGTGGGGAACAAACGCCTCCGAGGCTCGAGGACCTTCCGTGTGCGATCGCGCGGATGCTCGATCGATTCGCATCCCCGTGTCTGAATTCAATGGAATTTCATTACAACGCTGCACTCCGCGGGCGCTGTCACACAGATGCATGGAGAATGCATCGGGCGAATCGGCAAATCGAGGCTCGCCGCCGGAGTCGCAGCGCAATATTGGATTTCTGTTTCATTTGCCTCCGCCAATCCAGTTGCTCTTCCCTTTCATCGCCAATTATTTCTTGGGCTCGTGCGTTTCTTCTTCCTACGTTTTATCTGTCACCAAAGAGAATGGCTCGAGTCTCTAAACGAATCACCGATCGGTGACACCGATGTGTTCTGCTCAACGTTTCGCCAAATCAAACCGCTCTATATACCTTACGTTACGTCACGTCATGGCGACGATCGTTTTAGGTAACCGAAAAATATGGAGATCAATAACAGCGATTTTTTTTTATAATAAATAAATTTCAAAATTATTTCTTTTAATGAAGAATTAATGATTTAAAAATACTTAAAATAGTAAGTGCTTTTCTTGTGTGTGATGTTTCTAAAACAAATCATGAATAAATGTCTCTCTCTTTCTTTCATTAAAATTTATTTTTGTAGATCAGATCAAAGAGAGATATTTAATATTGAAAAGGGAAAACATTTTTATTCCAGATGATGAGATTTTATCAGCCAATCTGTGTTATTATGAATATTTAACAAGTAATTGACTCGTTTATATAATTTTATTAAATTTAAAAAAGAAAACTTACCAAATCGACGGCGGTTGAAGTTTCCAGTCGATTACTCTCGTCGGGACGACCTTCTTCAATTCTTTCGTTGTTCACTCGCCATGTAAATCGCGGCCTAGGATGCGCATGAACGGTAACATTGATGATCCCCCGTCTGCCAATTACGTATCCGAAACGTTCAACAGTCGGCTGTGATTGAGGTGGATCTAAAAAAAAGATATAGTTTTTTTTTTAAATTTATGATAAAAATAGACGATAGAGACTAATATAACAATTTTTATGTAAAAAAATTCATTAACATAAAGATTAATTGGGGTAAATTCCATTATTAAATAAATATATAAATTTTACTAGTACTAAAAATTAATATTAAAGGAAGTTACAAACTCTAAAAGGTAAAATAGAATAAAAATACAAATGAAACAAAATAGAATTTTAAAAAAATGTAAAGCTAATTAATGTCAATAAATAAGAAAATGGTTTACATTACAAAGATGGTTACTTACAGTATACTTCGAGTGGCTTAGTTTGTTCTATGGGTCTATCAAGAGCGATGTGATTAGCTATGCATCTTATCATTCTGCCGTTATCTGTCCAATCTAAACTGCGCGAAGCGTTCTGCATTGCTACTGCATTCATGTTCATATCGTAAGAGATCCTTTCTTCGCCAATCGGCTCCTCGTCTAAATGTTCAAACAAGAGTAATCTCATTTTTATACTGCATTCCATACATTTATATTTTATACTTTATATAATGTAATAATTGTATATTACGGATACAGAGAATATTAATTTGTTATTAATCTATTTTTTCAAAAATTAACACACGTTATTAATTCAAAGATAAATAAACACGACTTATTCCAGTATTTGCTTGTGTTTACAATATTGGTATATTTTCCTTCATCAAATTTTCAAATTTTCTTATTGTTTAATTTTGAAAAAAAAAAGCTGACTCATTATCTAAATGATTGAAATATCTTTGTTATACAATTATAGCTCGTATAGTTATTTGTTATATAATATATTATATAATTACATTTTTCAAAGTCATTTTCTTATTTTGATTTACATAAATGTAATAATCGTTGTTATAAAAAAGATCAGAAAATTGGAAAAAAGTATACGCTTCTTTAGAATATTAAATATACTAACCGAGAAACAGAGTCAAATTCGCTGCTGGTCGTCCAGATTTAGCCTTGCAGCTAATTTCCAATTTCTCGCCTTTTCTAAATGTGTTTCCGCCAAGACTCCCCGAATTCGTGAAAATCTCAACAGTTTCGGGTGGTTCTGAAAAATTAAGAAATAAGAATTTCTTTTGTTCTCGCCTCGCCATGTATCGATCAGATCAAATTAGAAAACAACATAAATGGCGATATTTTCTACACACTTTATTATATACTTTATAACCAAAATAAATGGCGAAAAAGAGTCGACGCATAATATATTTAATTAAAGATAATAGTCATAGATACATAAAATAAAAAGTAAAACGGCGCATATTAATATATAAAACAAACAAGTTTCGGCTACTGGATTGAGCCCTCCTCAGATGTAAAAAGAATATAATCCGAAAAGACATAAAAGATTACAACAAAAAAAATAATAAATCGATAACATTCAGTGACGCAACATTTTTAACGCGCGAAAATCAGCATGTGATGGATCTCGACGTAGCCTAATGTTGTATATGCGATGGGGCACTTTTTATTTTATGTATCTATGACTATTATCTTTAATTAAATGTTATTATGCGTCGACTCTTTTTCGCCATTTATTTTGGTTATTTTGTTTATACATAAAGAATCTTTACACCGTTGTTATTATATACTTTATCATTTTTATTATTCGAATCTGATGCGGAAATAGTACTTAAATTTAACTGTTTTCCATGATGTTTTCTTTTTGTATTAAAATAACATAAAAGATTTTCCTAAGATATTCACGAATCTCGTCATTTATCTTTATCGGATTCATCTTAAACAGTAATTTTGCTCCGTGCTTATTTCAGTCTCCGTAAGCAATTTCCTTAAGGAAGATTAATTATTTTCGAATACAGCTCTAGCGACTGGAACAAGCGTTTATTTTTTGCTTCTTGCTCTAATTAATGTTTCTCTTTTCATCGTAACCTCTTTGTCAAAAAAATATCCTATTTTTCATTTATTTATTACTTCGCACTTCATAATCGCCCGTTTACACTCACTTTTAATTACCTTTGAGTTTAGGTGTAATATAATACATAAAAGTAATTGTCTGTATCTGTGCGATTAAAAATTAAATAACAATTTGCTATTGAATAAAAATATAATTAAGATAAAAATTTTAAATCATATTACAAAGTACAGATTAAATATCAAAGTAATCGATTATACAAAGTGGTTAAAATAATTATGCACTAAATAATAAACGATTATATACTAAAATGATTATATGTGCTGTTTTTTATATTTAAAATAGAAGAACAAATTTTAAAACTCTAATATTCGTGTATACACACACACACACACACACACACACACACACACACACACACACACACACACACACACACACACACACACACACATATAGAGGTGTAAATATATATATACATACACCTATAGAAAAAACCTATACCTACACAGATATTTCTAGAAATGACATTTATAATTTTTAAATGCTTTTTGAAGCTTTTATGGATATTTTCTTCAAAGAAGTTATGAAGTTTGAGGATTATCTCCGTATCTTAATACATCGTTTATAACTTTTTCTGTGTTTTTAGCTTTGGAACACACAGATATCTTAATAAAAATATAACTTAAAAATATATTTTCTTTAAAGTTCTGATATATCAAGTCTATATTTAACGATTTCATTAAGCTAGAATATCATCAAATCAAGATAGAAAGTGAGAACTCACTCGCGACGATGATATTGAGAGAAGCAGTTTCTTCTTGCCGTTCCTTCTTGGACGTCAAAGAACATTTGAAGATGCCATGATGATTTTCTTTCACTTTAGCGATACGGACGCCGCATTCGCCAATACTAAATCCTTTTCCATAATATTCGATGTTGCCATCTCTGTCTTCCGAGGTATCTGCCGGGGTTAGCAGCATGCTACCCTCGCCAGGTATTTCTACACGGCAAAAACGAATCTCTTGTGGAGCGGTGCAGAGAATTTGTAAAGGTTCGCCGACTCGTACAGCCGTATCTCCTTTTGGCTCGGTGTTTATGAACATATTCGATTTTACTGAAAACAGATATACAAAATTAATAATAAGCTCGATAAATTGCAAATAAATCACATAAGTCTATAGTTAAAGTTGCGTTGAAGAAGAAATATAATACAATATAAAAAATACAAAAGCTATTAAAAACTATTTGACGTATTTCATGAATGTGTGTATGTAATTTAATTATTTTATATATAATTCTATAAGTATTCTGTGTCTTGAGATAAATTTCAGATGTGATCATTGATTAATCTTTATTTTAAAATAATGAGAAATATTTTTATTAAATACAATATATACTAAATATTAAGTTTTAAATTAAATTTATATTACCTTAGAGCGATGGCATACAGAAAATCTTAAATAGTAGAACGTAAATAGTAAGAAAATCAATGTTGAATTTTCTACTTATATTATGACCGTCTCTGCGATGTGATTGGCCAATTCGCTTACTGCTAACGTTTTACTACTTAAGTTTTTTTTACTACTTAAGTTCGTGTGCTATGGCTCTAAGATGATATAAATTTAATTTAAATATATTTAATCAAAATGATTCTCATTTTAGCCAAAAAGAAAATCAATAATTTCAATCACAATTTCTAAAATTTATCTTAAGATATAGAATAATTATAGAATTGTACGGAATAATTTAACATTTTAATTTAATCGAAGAAATATGATTGACGTTATTCAACATTATTTAATTAATTTCGGTATATATTTATATTCAATATTATTAAAATTTATTCCTGCATTTAATATTCATACTGTTTTTAAAGATTTGATTTAGGGAATCGAGTTGTACAAAAGTGTGAACGTATATTATAAAGGCTTTCAGAACAATCGAAAGGAAAAAAGGAAGTGTTTTAAGCAGTAGGTTTTAAGGAACACGCATCTGCGAGAGTTTCAATAAAAAATCGAGAGAGTGATTCGCATGGACGAAGATGCTACGTCTACGAAGATTTACGAGACAAAAAGAAAAGTTGATTAAATCTCCACCTGACTGTCTCTATCACCCTCGTGTATCTTTTTTATACTAACGCGCTTTGTATCGGAAAAAGACACAGTTGACTTTTTTTCTTTCTCTAGTCGCTCTTTTATCATTGTAAACTCACTTGACACGCTGGATGAGTATAATTCTTACGACAATTTCGCATATGTTCGTTGTTTTGCTAATTGATGTGTTATAAAAGAAAATCAAGTATTTGTCTAGAAAAATCCAATTTTTATTTAAACAGAATAGTTAATAATATGTTAAAAACAAATTATATTAAATACAAAAGAGAAATACGTGGAAAAGAAGAAAGAAGTATGTGTATGTGTGTGTGTATGGCACAAATATGTAAAATAATTATAATTATATTCCAATAATTGTAAATAATATTTTAGAGACTAAAGAAGTATTGTATATGTGTATATTAAAATATAAAAGTTGTATGAATTGTGTGTGTATGAACGTATGCAATATAAGAACATAATGCATATAAAGATTAATTTAACCATTAAAAATTTTCAGTACATTATATATAAATTTCTTTTATTTATTTTTATTTGAATAAAATCATTATTGTTGGCAGATTAAACTATATCTTATTTTAAATATACTCTATTATTAAATTTCAATAAAAAACTATCGTAAAAGTTTCCGTAAATAATTCTCAATTAAGCTTAAATATTTTTTATAACTTCATAAGAGAAACTTCATAAAAATGGAAGCGATAAAAACATTTTATACATTCAGCATACTATAATTATGTAAAAAAAAGCTTTAAACACTATAACTATAAATATTAGTATGCGCATATGTATCGTTGAGGTTTGATAACGTGACATAAAATATTGTAATCAAAGCTATAGCATGATCTTAATATTCATACAGTATACTTTACATAATATGCTAGATAATTGTTTCAGATAACATCCTACATTTTCCAAAAAGGAGGGCAAATAACATTTTGTAATTATTTTCTGTATCTATATGTATATTGCTATTTTTCTATATATTGAGAATTATTCTCTTCAATGTCCTTTTGTACCTATTTAAATAGACAATTTTTACAGCTATTATTTTTTTAAGTAAATTAAATTTTCAACAGATTTATTTTATTTTACAAAATAAGAACGAAAGAAAAATACATTTTTTAAAATTACGTCTATGCACATGACAGATGCAATTGCTATTCAAATGTGACAATCATTATCGCTGCCATTCGAGCCTGATGATGCGCGTTATTAAGGTAATATACGTTTTAGTTATTCAAGTAAGAACTCACACCGCCCCAACAAAAAGCGCTCTCCCGCCCTTAAAGAGTTCTTATCATAAGGGTTAAATATATAGACGTTTGCTTTTAAGTTCCCTACCGGAATGGCGTTGCGACGCAAAGCAACGCGACGTGCTGGTTGCATCGATCTCTGCGCGAGTTTAGGACGTGGTGTGTCATCGACGGAACGACGACGCGGCGACCGACCGATCCCATGCACGATGCTATTATGATAATGCACTTCAAGAAATATGATAAACTGGGCGTGGCGTGGGCAACGACTATCATATTTCATCCCGTCGACCGGCTGGTCGGTCGATCGCCGGATAGCTTTGAGAGGCAAGTACTCATAACTCAAAATAGCATTTTTGACAGATGCTTGTTCTTGCGATTGGATAAACGAGTTGCAGAAGCTATGAAATAAAGCATTAAGTCCAACTGCAGCTCTCAGATGCAATTATTCAAAGATAAGCAGTGTAACAGCGTAATTGCAGTTTTCTGTGAATAATCCACATCTATTTTCCGATAAAAATTTTAACAAGAAGATGCAGAGTGTGATCCATTTAGCACTACAAATGTTTCGACAGATTTGATTAATCAATCGAAAGAAAAAATTTTACTCATTGACCAATAAAAAATGCATCGAAGCATTTGTAGTATTAAGTAGATCGTAGCCATAGTTTATTTTATGTATACAACATATTAGATTGAATGAATTTATCCATGTGTACTTAATTTATAAACGAATTGTAGAAAATATTATGAAATGAAGTCTGGTTGCAAATCTTATTAATTGCAAGATGCACCTGTTTAAAGATAAGCACAACAGCGTAATTGCAGTTTTATATAAACAATCCTCAACAATCTCCATCTATTTTTCGTTTAATAAAAATTAAACGAGATATGATCTACAATATTTCAAGGTTTTTTTAATTAGTATGCTGCGGCACACTAACGTGCATGCTATAATCTTTCCAAGTGAACCGTGAAAATGTTAGAGAAGGTAAAAAGAAACGAAAAAATTTAGAAGTAAAAAAGCGAGCAAGATGCAAAGTAAAAAAAAGTATTTTAAAAAACCTTGAAAATTATATCTAAATTATATTGTGTTTACTCTCGTTTTAACCAAAGCGATATTATCATTAAATTTTTAAAACAATAAAATAAAAACTAAAACTTTAGTATATTATTTTATTGTTATTTTTATGTGTCATAGCAATATATCTGATAAACCTACACTAAAGCGTGTGCACTTCATGACATACTTCGACATTGGCTTATTATGTAATGCGTTGTAAATTAAAAAAGTTGAAAAATGCTAATTTATTTTACACATATAACATATCAGTTTGAATTTATTTTTAGTTAATAAATGAATTGTGGAAATTATGAAATTGCAGTTTTATGCAGGGATCGAAAGATTTTTTTCGATTTATTTCCGGTTCCGGTTTAATGAAATATCAAAAACGTTCCGGTTTCAGTTTCGGTTTTTTTCGGTTCTATTTATTTGCTTTATTTTATTTATTCTTTAATTGTTAGTCTTTAATTCTTTGTTCTATTAAGAAGAAGGAGGAGGAGGGGGAGGAGAAAGAGAGAAAGAAAGGAAGAGAGAACACAGCGTGTTCACCTGTTTATTCTAGAGAGCCTAATCGAAAAGAGGCGTCAATTGATCACGTGGCTGTGAATAAAAGTTACGTAAACATTATTTTAGGCATATTTCTCTCAGTTTTTTTTTACAACTTATTTAATTTTTATGGATAGATCTCACTTATTACATAAAGTCTACATATGTATTCTTGAATTTCATGACTTAGAATAAATTGTTGCAACATGTAGGTGAGGAAGATCTAAATAAAAGAAATGCTAGTATCTTAAAAAAAAAGTTTACATTAAATATGTCTCGCAATCCCGCTAGATTTCTTATATCATATGAGATGGAGGTATTTACATTCTGATTATTAAGAGAGCTGGCGATGGTAATATACTGGATTGAACATTGGTGATTTGAACGAAGGAACGGACAGAAGAAAGATTAAGAATAAGGATAAAGATTAAGAACTGAAAAAAAGACCGAAAAAAACCATAATATTTTACCAATTCGGTTACGGTTTCGGCATCATAAATTATACAAAATTTGAATACGGTTTCGGTTCATAAAAAAAAAAGTTCCAATAAGTTCCAAATTTTCGGTTCCAATTTCGATTTGGTCCGAGTCCCTGGTTTTAGGTAAACAATCCACATCTGTTTTCCGATAAAAATTAAACGGATAAATATGATACGTAGTATCTATTTTAAATATACAAATATCAAACAAAAATTGGAAATTTATTCATATATATTTAATTTATTTTAATATTCAACAATTGAAGATTTGTGCAAATTTTTCCATAAAGAATGTGATCTTTTTACATTCTATTGTTACTCAAGTAATGAAACTATTAAACCGATTTACTCTCTATTTCTCGGATGTACATTATGCTGCGCGACACAATCACGAGTTTTCTGTCTTTTTTTTATTCGCATACATAGAGCTATTTTTCCGTTTAGATGCACTCAGATGCGTTTTCTGTGTACGCGAGCCTATGTATCGGTTCATGACATGGGATTCAATGGGTTCGTTAGAATCGTTGCCCAATTTTATAGTACGACATGGACTTTAAATGCACTAAAAGCACTTCCGAAAACTGGCGTTACTTAATATTGGCGGTATTTTTATTGTTTTTTTTTGTACCTGAGTATGCACTATACGCTTTATAGTA